TTCCTCTCTTCCTCTCTTCCTCTCTTCCTCTCTTCCTCTCTTCCTCTCTTCTTCTCTTCCTCTCTTTCTCTCTTCCTCTCTCTCTCTCGTCTCTCTGTCTCTCTGTCTCCTTGTCTCTCTGTCTCTCTGTCTCTCTGTCTCTCTGCCTATCTACCTATCTATCTGTCTACCTACCTATCTTTCTATCTTTCTATCAATCTCCCTCTACCTATATTTGAGTAACCGACTTTTTTTGTAATACTAATTTAGTTTTTGCTTTGCCTTGGCCTTTTAACCAAAACCTTCATAACCGATAGGGACGACCCTATACCGATACCGCACTTGTGATACGTCTTGGAATACTGAGATCCTCACAACCGATAGGGGACGACCCTAATTTGTGCATGGCATTAAATGATTCATTTAAATTTGTCCGCTACTCGATCATATATCTTTAACTCTATCTCTAGCTCTATGTCTATCTCTGTCTCTTTCCCTATCTATCCATCTGTCCATCTATCCATCTATCCAGCTATCTAGCTATCTAGCTATCCATCTCTCTATCTATCTATCTATCTGTCTGTCTGTCTGTCTGTCTGTCTATCTGCCTATCTGTCTATCTGCCTATCTGTCTATCTGTCTATCTGCCTATCTGCCTATCTATCTATCTCTCTATCTATCTATCTACCTATCTATCTATCTATCTACCTATCTACCTATCTATCTATCTTTCTATCTACCTATCTACCTATCTACCTGTCTACCTATCTACCTGTCTACCTATCTACCTGTCTGACTGTCTGTCTGTCTGTCTGTCTGTTTGTCTATCTATCTATCTATCCATCTATCTATCTATCTATCTATCTCCCTATCTCCCTATCTCCCTATCTCTTTATCTATCTGTCTATCTATCTATTTATCTATCTATCTATCTATCTGTCCGTCTTTCTATCTATCTTTCTTTTCTATTCTATTCGATTCGATTCTATTCTATTCTAGTCTAGTCTATTCTTTTCTAGTCTAGTCTATTCTATTCTATTCTTTTCTATTCTTTTTCTATTCTTATCTATTCTTATCTATTCTGAGCTATCTTATCTGTCTTATCTACCTTATCTATCTTATCCATCTTATCTACCTTATCTATCTTATCTATCTTATCTATCTTATCTATCTAATCTATCTAATCTATCTAATCTAATCTAATCCAATCTAATCTAATCTAACCTAATCTAATCTAATCTAACCTAATCTAATCTAATCTAACCTAATCTAATCTAAAATCTAACCTAACCTAATCTAATCTAATCTAAATGACTCATTTAAATTTGTCCGCTACTCATATATCTTTAACTCAATCTCTAGCTCTATGTCTATCTCAGTCTCTTTCCCTATCTATCCATTTGTCCATCTATCCATCTATCCAGCTGTCTAGCTATCTAGCTATCTGTCTGCTTGTCTGTCTATCTATCTATCTATCTATCTCTATCTCTATCTCTATCTCTATCTCTATCTCTATCTCTATCTCTATCTCTATCTATGTATGTATGTATCTATCTGAAAGGAAGCAATTATGCGGGACTTCCTTCGGAAGTGGAAGCAATTCTGCGAGACTCACAGCTCGAAAACGGAAAAATCCTGCAAGAATTCCTCCAAAACTCGAAGTTGACAACATCAAAAACGAAGCAATTCTACGAGACGTCATTCAAAAATGTCAAGTTGCGTGCAGAGCTGCCGGCCTCGTACCAATGCGTTTTGCGAGACTTCCTTCAATTTTCGAAGTTGACAACATCGAAAAATAAGCAATTCTGCGAGACTTCCTTCAAAAATGGAAAGTTGAGTGCAGAGCTGACGGCCTCGTGCCAATGCGTTCTGCGATTTTTCCATTCCACCTGTCTAAAGGTACTGCGCCTGCCAGGAAAAAGTGAGGCCGGGTCATACCAAGTGCTGCACCTGTCACGCAAAATCATCTTTGCAAACCTGAGGATCTGATTTTCCAAAATGCAACCTATCAGGAAATCAGCACCGACGTCCTAACCTGTCTGATGAAGATGTCTCTTGTACCGCGGGTGGTACGCAAAATTCATCTTTCCGGATCCTCTTCAAGCGCCAAGCCTGCCATCGTTTTGGAAGCTGCTACAAAAGCCTTTCACGTTGTGCTCACTTTTGGCAAGGTGCAGAATCCATTGCGCCTGGTTGAACGTCCGAAACTGGTCCGGACATGTGGTGTACTTTACCATTTTGACTTCAAAATTTGCTTCGTGCCACAGCTGCATGTATTTCTTCAACATCTCAGCTTCCAAAAGGGCTCCAACTCTCAAGTGCTTTTCACATTTTGACTTTGACATGTGCTTCGCGCCGCAGCGGCGTGCAATTTTTGATCGCTCATTCCCGCCAGATGGCTCCGCACCCGCGGCTTAAAGCCTATACCTTTTGACCCTCCATCGAAGCCCCAAAACACAGCGTTTCACGCCTTTGATCTTTGTTCTGCTGACTCTCTCTTCTTTGACTCTTCCCACACGTGTTGCTGCATCTGTCCATGGGTCCATGAGTCAGAAGTTTAACTTCTAACTTCCTCCGATTAGATTTTGACAAGTCCCTAGCCTCTACCTTTGTAAATCCTTCTGCTGTCTATATATTTGCTCCTCTTTTTCCTGGGTTAATTAGACAAACAATGTCGTTTACAGTCTGACCGACAACTTCAGGCTGCGTTCGCTGGGACTTCAGGAGGTTGTGTCGAAGGCCATGGATACACATCCAGGGCATGCTGCGTTGCAGCGAGAAGCGTGGAAATTGCTAGAAACATTGGAGCAAGCGTCCAGGTCACTTATCTGCTGTAGTATACGGTGGGGGTTGTTGTGGTGTTGTGTTTGTTGTCATTCGGAGAGCGGCCCAGCGTGGCCCAGCTCTTTATTGTTGGCTATACTATATTAGATGAATCATTTACCATTAGTATATAACTTATAGTACCAGTTCGAAACCGCCATGGAAAATGAGGTGAGAAACGCATCTTTCTGGAGGATCGATTTTAACGTCCATCTTTGTTTCAAGTGGAGCAAACAATCAGGCAAGAGAATTCAACGTGAGATGATGAGAGCATCGAAGCCACCACGGCCACTCAACCATCCTCTAATATATATATATGTTTTCGGGCAACATGGTGCTGGTTTTGAGGGAACCGCATTTCCCAAATACATCCTGCATGTCGTTCCCACCACTAGAGAACTTTCCGAAAATTCCAAGGTGCTAGTGAGGTTGCTGGCCAAAGGTCAGCCATTGGAGCTGAACACGTCTCTTCTCACCCAGCAATGGCTGAAGAGAAACTGCAACCGCCGTGATTCGGCCTTGAGGCATTTTTTTGATAATGAAAGTGTGATAAACCAACCCATAGAAAGTTTTCACGACGTTATCTAGCCATGGGTGCTTCATTGCTCAGTGTGGCATTGTGCTCCCGCCTTATGATTTGCAAGGTTTACCACTATTGTGGCGTGAGGGAATCATGCGGAACGATGAAATGGGGTTCAGGTATGCTGCTGAATCCTCCAAGAATCTTGGCCCCGTTGCCGGTTCTAATTTTATTACTGCTTCTGAAGCAGCTTTCATTTTCCCCATGACTGCGAAGCAGCTTCGTGGATGTTTTGCGGCGCAGATCGCTGTAGAGATATCGAACATCGGGCAGGCCAAGGGCCGCGAAAAGCCTGAAGGCCAACTTCCGGTGAATCTTGTTTGGTTTTGAGTTGACGGTTCCTTGTAATCTATATCATGCATTGCAGGGTCCCAGCATGGAATAAAGTTGGGTAGCCGCTAAAACGTACCACAATGACAAAAGAGCAAACAAATAAGCGTGGCAAAGGAAGCTGATTGCAGCCACGTCTGTGAAGAATCACATGTTTCTTGTCTTGCAGCAGTTGTGCCAGGCCAGGCCCTGAAAGTCCAGAACTTCGGGACGCATGTGTCATTTGTCTGAGCGCGCTAAGAAGGGAAGATAACCTGCATAATCCTGCGTATATTTTACCAGTAGTACCGCGCAAGGCGGTGGCAGAAGTTTCAAGGATAGGACACTATCGGCGAGGTGAGTTGCTGTGATGCATGGATGGCAGAGCGAATCCACTGATGGACCGAAAGGTGGTTGGAGTGCTGTTTTTTGGAATGGTTGCAGTGTCTGCAGCCACAACTGCTGGATGTAGTGTGGTGTAGAGCAGCTGTAGTTGTAATTGTAATGTAGTGGAATTGTAGTTGTGTGTAGTGTAATCAGTGTAGTGAAGTTGCAGTTGTAGTTGTGGTGTGGTGTAATGAGTGTAGTGTAATGTGATGTAGTGTAGTCTGCTGTAGTGTTGTAAGCTGTAGCGTTGTCTAGTGTAGTGTGCTCTAGTGTTGTGTGCTGTAGTGTAGTCTAGTGTAGTGTAGTTTGGTGTAGTGTAGCGTAGTGTGGCGTAGTGTAGCGCAGTGTGGCGTAGTGCAGTGTAATTAGTGTGGTGTAGCGTAGCATAGTGTAGCGTAGTGTAGTTGAATTAGTGTAGTGTAGTTGAATTAGTGTAGTGTAGCGTAGTGTAGCGTAGTGTAATGTAGTGTAATTGTAGCTGTAGTTGTAGTTGTAGTGTAGTGTAATGTAATTAGTGTAACGTAGCGTTGTGTAATGTAGCGTAGTTGTAGTTGTAGTCTAGTGTAGTGCAGTGTGATGTAATTAGTGTAGTGTACTGTAGTGTAGGTGTAGCTGTAGCTGTAGTAGTAACAGTAGTTGTAGCTGTAGTGCAATTAGTGTAGTGTACTGTAATTAGCGTAGTGTAGTGTAATTAGCGCAGTGTAGTGTAATTAGTGTAGTGTAGTGTAATTAGTGTACTGTAGCGTAGGATTTTTGTTTTTGTATTTGTAGTGGTAGTGTAACGTGGTCGTAGTTGCAGTTGTAGTTGCAGTTGTAGTTGCAGTTGTAGTTGCAGTTGTAGTTGTAGTCGTCTATCGATCTATCATGACCTATCTATCTATCTATCTATCTTTCTTTCTGCAAGTTTGAAAACAAATCTATTCTGAGAGACCTCCTCAGTTTTTGAACTTGACAACGTCAAAAACGAAACAATGTTGCGAGACGTCCTTCAATATTCGAAGTTGACAACATCGAAAAATAAGCAATTCTGCGAGACTTCCTTCAAAAATGGAAAGTTGAGTGCAGAGCTGACGGCCTCGTACCAATGCGTTCTGCGATTTTTCCATTCCACCTGTCTAAAGGTACTGCGCCTGCCAGGAAAAAGTGATGCCAGGTCATATGAAGTGCTGCACCTGTCACGCAAAATCATCTCAGCAAACCTGAAGATCTGATGCTCCAAAGTGCAACCTCTCTCAGGAAATCAGCGCCCTGACCTCCTAACAGCTCTGATGAGCATGTCTCTTGTACTGCGCCTGCCACCGAAAATGCATCTTTGTAGATCCTCTTCAAATGTCCCACGCCTGCCATCGTTTTCGAAATTATACAAAACCTTCACATTTTGCTCACTTTTAACAAGGTGCATAATCCCTCGCGCCTGCCACGCAAAACGACATCTGAACGTCCAAAAGTGCTCTGAACCCGTCATTTTTTAAAAATACACTTTTGACTTCGAAATGTGCTTCGCGCCACAACAGCGTGTACTTTTCCCACATGAGCTCACATGTCAACTTCCAAACGTGGTCCGCGCATGGTGTGTTTTGTACATTTTGACTTGGAAATGTGCTTCGCGCCACGACAGCGTGCACTTTTTCGACATCTCAACTTCCGAAAGTGGTCCGAACATGGTGTGCTTTGTACATTTTGACTTGGAAATGTGCTTCGTGCCACAACGGCGTGCACTTTTTCAACATCTCAACTTCCAAAAGTGCTTTGAACGTGAGGTGTGTTTAGCGTTTTTGCTTCGTGCCACAACGGCGTGCAATTTTTTCACCTCTCATCTGGCCAGATTGCTCCGCACCCGCTGCTTTAGCGAGCCTACGTTTTGTCAACCCTCCGGAGCCACAAATCATTGGAAAAACATAGTGTTTGGCGACTTTCTTACCTTTTCGCGCGCCTGGATCTTCTTTCTTCTGACTGTCTCTTCTTTGATCTTCTCCCTTCTGCCTTTCTCTTCTCTGACTCTCCCCACCTCTGCTTTTCCATCTGTCCATATTGTCGGAAGTTTGGCTTCTGAACTTCCTTCAATAATCATATATATATATATTATATATATTATATATATATATATATTAAATATATATATATATATTATATTATATATATATTATATATATAAATATTTTTATATATTAATTATATATATTATATTATATTATATATATAATATATATATAATATATATAATATTTATATATATAATATATATATAATATATATATATATAATATATATATAATATATATATATATATAATATATATAATATATATATATAATATATATAATATATATATCATATATATATAATATATATATAATATATATATATATATTTCTTGCCGTCGAAACCTGTTTAGAGAGATTTGTTGCGCCTTGTGCTCGCATGTCCGCGATGCATCTTGCCTGCCCCCGAAAGTGGAGAGCGGATGTCCCATGGCTGCCTTGAATTGCCTCCATCCATTCATTGTCTTACATCGCGGACTTGCATTGTTTGAGTTTGTGATTGTGAATATGTGCAAGATTTTGCAAGGCTCTAGAGTTGCGTTCCACGATGGGGCCAGATGCCTGAAGATGCACGGCAAGATATCTTTAGAACAATGCAACGCTGGTGCTGGATTGCCCCGAAAATGCATGCGCCTTCCGATTTACTCCGGCAGTCTCCGGGTTTATTGGCTCAAAGCCAGCCATTGGACCATAGCACGGCAAGACCGGACAGGACCGAAAAAGCATTGTGCAACTTCGAGGGCTCAGCATTAGGAATTCCACCCTGGGGATTGGATACTTAAGAGAATTTCCGCGTTGGACAGACATATTTTGGTTCTACTTTGGCTTTTAAAATTGTTAAGTTTGGAGCGGCCGGAGTCTGTATCATGATCAACAGGTGGCTGGCATCGGATCGGTCTCTGATCTTGATCTTCACATGTTGATTTTTGATCCATATTGATCCTGATGTATCTTATAGAGGTCCCAATACTGATCTGACCAATGTAACTTTGGATGAGAAAATTCCACATTACGGACGACCAAAAAGGAGAAGTTGAGATGAAATGAGAAGAGATGAGAAGAGTTGAGATGAGCTGGAAAAACGTGAGAAGAGTTGAGATGAGCTGATTGAGAGTTTAGACAAATTCAGAAAGGATGAGAAGAGCTGAGATGAGCCGAGAAGAGATGAGAAGAGATCAAACGAGATGAGAAGCAGCAAGCCAGTCTAGACAGGCAAGAAGTGCCATGTGTGCCACGTAAAGCACAGAGGCGGTGTCCACAGCGTCCGGCCGCCCAACGGTCCAGAGGAACAAAAACCACAGCAACTGCTGCGCAAAGGAGGGGCGGCATCCTCAGCCTGCAGCAAAGCAGGTGCCAAACTTTTTTGTTTGAATCATTGCCCGCACCAGCAGAGCATGGTCCAGGGCTCTATTCGGTTGTCATCCCTTATGTGGCGCATGCCACCCGAGCGTTGCCAAAGCTGGCCCAGCAAATGAAATATAAACGAGTGCAGCTCATTTCATGTCTTCTCATCTCTCCTCATCTCATCTGAACTCTTCTCACCTGTTATCAAATCTGAACTCTTCTCATCTATTTTCAGCTCATGGGTGGTCTTCTCAACTTTGCTCAGCTCATCTCAGCCACTGAGCAGCGGGATGTCGTGTCCACCGGCGCCCGGCAAAGAAGATCGCACGCACCTCTAATCTGATCAGCTTGGAGTTCCGCTGCATGCACGGAGCCGGCCTATCTGGTCCGATCATCTATCTGCTTACCTGCCTATGAGTCTAATCTACAGAACCTATCTATCTAGCCATCTATCCATCTATCGATCTGTCTTTCTATCCACCTATCTACTGTAGTCTATCTGTCTATGCATCCTGTCTATGTATCCTTTCTATCGTATCTTTCTTTCGTATCCTGTATGCTATGCTGCGATATGCTTGGCATTTCTTTCCTTTCCTTTCCTTTCCTTTCCCATTGTGGGCGCAGGAGGTGCGCAATCTGATTTTCAAAAAGGCAGCCACATGCAGCCACTTGGCAGCCACTTGCTCAGGCAGCACTTGGGGCAAGTGTCAGCAAGTGGCTGCCAAGTGGCTGCCTGACCAAGTGGGTGGCTGCAAGTGGCTGCCAGGTGGCTTGCACGTGGCTGCCTGAGCACGTGGCTGCCAAGTGGCTGCAAGTGGCTGCCAAGTGGCTGCAAGTGGCTGCCAAGTGGCTCCAAGTGGCTGCTTTGGCAAGTGGCTGCCAAGTGGCTGCTTTGGCAAGTGTCTGCCAAGTGGCTGCCAAGTGGCTGCCAAGTGGCTGCCAAGTGGCTGCTTCGACAAGTGGCTGCCAAGTGGCTGCAAAGTCGCTGCCTGAGCAAGTGGCTGCCAAGTGGCTGCAAAAGCAAGTGGCTGGAAGTGGCCGCCAAGTGGCTGCCAAGTGACTGCTTGAGCAAGTGGCTGCCAAGTGGCTGCAAGTGGCTGCAAGTGGCTGCAAGTGGCTGCAAGTGGCTGCAAGTGGCTGCAAGTGCAAGTGGCTGCAGGAGCAAGTGGCTGCAAGTGGCTGCAAGTGGCTGCAAGTTGATGCAGGTGGCAGCAGCCATCTGCAGTGACTTGCAGCTGCTTGCAGCCACGTGCCATCTTGAAAAAAAGCGTCATTGTAGTTGATTGTAGAATTTACTTCTCTTTCAAGATTTGAGTGCGCGGCCTGCCAAGTGCTACGGAATGATAGCATATTGCGAGACCAAAGAGCGATATTGCGAATTGCTATTGTAGGGGGTAGGATTTGCATCCGTTGCCGTTTCTATTCAGAGATGTTCAGAGCTTAGGTAGCTAGGAAGGTAGGAAGGCAGGACGACATAGTAAGGTAGTTTTCAAAGACGTGGTGCTTGCAGCCACTTGCTCAAGCAACCACTTGCAGCCTGTTGCTGCGGCCACGTGGGGCAAGTGTCTGCGAGTGGCTGCAAGTGGCTGCCAAGTGGCTGACATTTAGAAAATCAAAATGATGCACGTTTGCTCGCTCTCTGTCCTTATCCTTTCCTTTCCTTTTCTTTCCCATCTACCCTGTCTATCCAATCTGTCCTCCTTGTCCTTTCTGTCCGATCTACCTACTAGTCCAATCTATCTTGCTCATCCTATCCATCAGAATTACTATCTATCTATCCTATAGATTCTCTGTCCAGTCTCCATCTATAGTTTCTATTTTATTCCATTCTGTTCTGTTCTCTTCTCTTCTAGTCTAATCTGTTCTAGTCTAATCTATTCTATTCTATGCTCTTCTGTTCCGTTCTATTTTATCCAAATCTTGAATTTCCATTTTTGTGTGTTCTTTTCTTACCTTTCGGTTTCTATCCTATCTATCCTATCTATCGCATCTTTCCTAATCATCCCACCCATCCTATGTATCTTTCCTTCCTACTCTACTGAAGCTATCAGTCCTTGCTTTCCTATCCTGCCTGTTCTCTTCCTGTCCTATCTGTTCTTTATCTATCCTATCTTCTGTTATCCTAGCTATTCTCTTTCCATCCTATCTATGCCGATTTATTCTCGATATCTATCTATTTTTCTACTCTGTATCTATTCTCTTTCTAGTCTTTATCTACCCTCTATATATGCTCTCTCTCTCTCTATGGTGTTTTTCCTTTGTATCTTATCTGTCCTATCTTTCCTTTTTATCCTTTTTATCCTATCTGTCCGTTCTGGGCATCTATCCTCTCTTTCCTATCTGTCGCTTCTGGCATGTTATCCTTTCTTCCTATCTGCCCTATTTTTCATATTTGTCCCATTAATTCTTTCACGCCTTACCTATCCTTTCTATCTGTCTATCTCTCCCGCCGTCTATCTTACTTTACCTCAATCCACCTGCATCTATCTGCGCATCTGTCTATCCCATGATCTCTTTATCCCGTACTTTCTTGTTACCCATATATATACAATATATGTATATATATATATTGTGTATATATATATATTTTCAATCCATTTAGCTATCCAACCCTGGCAGCTGTCGGCTGGACCAACACCAACATGTCTTCCGCTACAGGACCGCAATGGTACTGAGCGTAGAATCACCCTGAAGATCCGAAGTTTCAGACTTCAGGAACGGATACCCCCACGCGTCTTAAGCCTTCCTGCGGTTATCAAAGGATAATGATAAAGAGAGCGGACGCATGTCCAGATACAGATGAAGGAGGTTGCAAAATATAAAGTGTTAAATATTAATACTGTTGACTAAGCAGGAGATACATACAAATAGAGAAAGGAATCAAATAATTGGTCACTGGATGGAAAAACCGATGGATAGGTAGATAAGTGTTGCAACTTGCAACCACTACTCTCATTGCTTGATGTTGCGCAGGTGGATCCTGTGGTGGCTGATCAGTGAGACAGGCAGGGAGGGATTTTGTGCAGTTTACACTTGCTTATGCAAGCTCAGCAAAATCCATGGTTCCTGTCAGTAAAGGTTTATTCCAGCAAAAACCCAGGGACCTTGTTCTGTATGGTTCAGCGGCCAAGCAACAAGCGAATCTACCGCAATGATTCATAAGTTTCTTCGCTGAAGGGTTGGTGGAAGTGACATAGCTGAAGACACCCTGAGAATTCAAAAACCAACACTCTCCAGTCGCCGTTTCCCACTGCGCGGAATTTCATTGGCAGGAAGATTGCATGCCATGGGTTTGGTTCAAGGTAGTTATTCAGCCATGTCGGAAATTTACACACACCATTACAGCCAGCTGAGCCAGCTCGAACTTGCCACTTCAGATTCTCGGAGATGTTTCCAGCGGTTTGTTTCTTGTTTCTGCAAATCCCTTGTGAGGTTTTGTCTCAGGAGTCCACGGTGATACCAATCGACATGCATGTTGTACGGCGCAAAGCCGATAGTTCTAGCAGATAGAGGATCATGGTTGAAAAAGTATTGGGCACCATTCTAGTAGAAGGGGATCATGAGCCAGCAAGTAGTACGTGTCGTTGAGTCTTCAGGTCATCAGTTAAGGTTACAAGCCCCCATTTGACACAGCAGGGGTCTAGCCGGGCAACTGGCAACCGGGATTACAGCATATCCCAAGCATACCCAAGTCACGTGCGTGCATCACTGGTAAATTTGGATTCAGAACTTGATGTTGGCCTTGCATGGGTTTCCGCTTTCTTCAGCTGGTTTGAGGATCTCGCCCATGATGCCGGTTCCTTCTCGGCCTGCTTGAATTTAAGAGTGACTCTTCCGCAGGCCACTTCATCTGGTTCCAAAGTTTCCAAAGGCTGCTTTCCAGCAGTTTCTTGGCCGCAGGCTCCTCGCGCCCTGCGAAACCCAGATTGCCCAAATTGGTCGAAGAACTTGAAGTTGGCCGTACTTACCTCTTGGAACAAAATGCGAGCCAAAAACCAAAACTTAGTCAGGGTTTGGTCCATCAATCATTGCAAAGCTTTGGGAAACATTTGGCATGTAGAAAGAGTGCGAGGGCCACGTCGCAGTGAGACCATGCTTTTATAGACGCTTGAGATGTTTCCCATGTATATAGAAGGCCAGCCGGCAGGCTATAGGCTGCCATCCTCAAGCTAGGAACATTGAGAGGCCATGGGGGTGATTCCTCTACGAGTAGGGGTTTCTAGGCAATAGAGGTCAGGAATCTGGTGCTCTTGTCAAACGCGTCACACACATCACTTCCCCCAAAGAACTTTAGGGATTGAGGAATGTTCTGCAATTTTGTGCACTGGTAGCAATGTTTTGTGACTTGTGGAACTAAGCGTCGTTGGGAGTTGGGAATGGGGAGCAACATCGTTCCTGAACGTGCGCAAAAAGATGCCAATCGATTTCTGCATTCTTGTTGTCATACGCGCGACATCTTGCGGTTCTTGTTTTGGTACTCGCAGGACATGCTACACTTCTGGTATCTTCTGGCTGTCGCGTGCATGATATCTTGGAGGATCATCCCACGTACTAACTGGTTAGTCAGCCTGGTTAGTAAGTCCCCGAAGTGGATTGTCCCATCTATATCAGCAATGGGTGAAAATCACGGCTATTCAATTAACCATTTATTAAATGGGTGGTGATCCTCCAAAAACGTTTCTTGTCCCCATGCTCATGACATAGTGCACTTCTTGTTGCGACGCCCATGGCATATTACGGTGAATCTGTAGAAGTAAGTCCAAAGAGAGGCCACACTGACTGACTGGGGAGTTCTGTTCAGACTTTCGAACATGTTGCCGAGTGGCCATCAGGGAGAGGATGCACATGATGACGACGATGATGACGATGACGATGACGACGACGACGATGATGATGGTGGTGATGATGATGGTGATGATGACCACCATGGTGGCGATGATGACGGTTCATCATGATCATCATGATCATCACCATCATCATGATCATCATCATCATCACCATCGTCATCATCATCATCATCAACATCATCATCATCATCGTCACCATCATCATCTTCATCGTCACCATCATCATCATCATCATCATCATCATCATCATCACCAACATCATCATCATCACCGTCATCCTCATCATCATGATCATCATCCTCATCATCCTCATCATCCTCATCATCCTCATCCATCATCATCATCATCATCATCATCATCATCATCATCATCACCGTCATCCTCATCATCCTCATCATCCTCATCATCCTCATCATCCTCATCATCCTCATCCATCATCATCACGGTCGCCGTTTTCGCGGCTGTTGCGGTTGCTGCTGCGCTACAGTTGCTGCTATTGCTATTGTTGTGGTTGTTGTGTTGGGTTATTGTCGCTGTTTTTGCAGTTGTTGTAGTTGTTACTTTGGTGTTGTTGGAGGTGGTGCTGTCGGTGGTGCAAGTTTCCATCAGCTCAAGCCACATTCGTCCGCTCTCCAGGTTTCAATCCATGTGGTGATTGTCGCTGCTGCTCTTCTGACCCTCGTAGTATTCAACTTATTGTTGAAGGACGTGGACGTGGCTCTCATGCGTTTTCTGGCAGCACTGGATCTTGATTAACTTGCCACGGGACAATGATTGCCTGGAATGGAACACGATTCACTAAGCGCCCGCTTGTAACCCATTTCCTTTTATTTGTAGCAGAACAGCGCAGTCGAAGAAGATGGAAACATGCGTATTGGTGCACAAAGAGCGTTCGTCACATGCGACGCACCCTTCCTTCCGTGTATCTTTTGTTATCCGTTGTTATCCGGACACAAAGCTGGGTGACTGGTTTGGATGAGACCCGGCTCCAGGGTATAACACAGACATGGTTACATGGTGTTTTTTTCAAAACCAAACCCCCCACTGAAAGCGTCACAGTTTTCATGTGAATTGGAATCCGCATCCCCCCCCCACCGTCAGTAGTTTGGGTTTCCATTGATTTTCATGTTGGTGTCATGTGAAGGTGGTAGCCCTATGAATTTGGCGCACTTTGCGAGGCATTGTGTTGTTCCCTGGTCTGATCATCGGCGCTCTGACACTTCTGGCCGGGATGGTCAGCCCACATCACAATGCCAAGAAACCCTGGAAAGAGGCAGTCGCTGTAAGTGTGGCAAAGATGCAGATGCTTGCGGGCCAAATTCTGTTTCCAACGTTCTTGTACTATGCAGACGCTAGGTGTGGAACAATGGTTTTGGTTTGCATATTCGGAAATCAGGGCAGAAGAAGTCCAACAAAACATGTGCACTTGTTCAAGATTCAAGAGGAATTTGCAAGTTTTCACGCATGATCATTGTTGCGAAACCCTGAGAAAGCAGTCAGCTTTGGCAGCATGTGAAGCATAGCCACTCCACAGGGATGACAAAGCATTATTGTTCTTTCATAGTGTTTGTTTTATCATTCCAACATACCAGAGGTTTGTCATGAGGCCAAAGTCAATTTTTTGTTCCTCGGTGGCCATATGACCTCTCGCCCCCTCGCCCCCCCTCTTGATCTCGCCCTCCCAACCAATCCATGAAGGTTCGTGCCCCCCGGATGGTCCCCTCAGGGGTGGCGTTTAACTTTGACCGCGTACACCTAACATCACCCAATCATTTCTTATATGAGAACAAGATCCTATACCAGTGTGAGGCAAATCCATTTTGTAGAAAATTGAGAAAACCATTTTGTAGGTGGGTGATGGGAGTTGATGAATGCATCCATGAATTTGAAATATGCAAAAACTTGAGATATCCAAGCACTGTTTGAGAGATGTTGATAAGAAGTCTCATTCAGAGTAGTTTGTCTACAATTTGGTCGCTCCCAAAAGGCCAGCGTGCTACCAGAGGGGTGTCTTACAAAATGATACTTTCATTTTTCGCAGTTTCTTGGACACTATGTTAACCCAAAAGTATTTCAAAATGCTTCATGTGATGAGCACGTGGGATACCAAGGAATCACCATTGTGTAGGCAGCAACCCCATGGAGGCTACCATTTTGTAGGTGTCCTAGTACCATTCTGGAGGGGGATGGGATGGGCACTCTACATTTTGGAAGGTCCCAACGCTTCCGGGTCAATTTCAACGGGCCAAAAGCGTTGAATTCTGGAATTTCAAGGTTAGAGTTGGCCTGGGACAATTGGGGCACCTCAGCCGTTGATTTTCCGAAAACATTTGCGGGTGATATCTTGGCGCTGGCAGCACGCACTGCGCCAAAACCATGTAGCCAAACGTGTCCCACATGAAATGGACATGCATTTTTGGAGGTTGGGATGCATGTTTTTGCCAGCGAGGGGAAAACCGCGCCAGCGTTTTTTTGGCCGTTTTTGAAAACACACATATTTCACTCAGAACATGCACATCTCACGTTACGTCACTGGGTTGGGGGGTGGGGATGTTAACGTTCATGTTAACTTGCGTCACATGCACATCTCACGTTACGTCACTGGGTTGGAGTGGGGGTGGGGATGTTAACGTTCATGTTAACTTGCGTCACATGCACATCTCACGTTACGTCACTTGGTTGGGGTGGGGTGGGGATGTTCACGTTCATGTTAACTTGCGTCACATGCACATCTCACGTTACGTCACTGGGTTGGGGGGTGGGGATGTTAACGTTCATGTTAACTTGCGTCACATGCACATCTCACGGTACGTCACTGGGTTGGGGGGGTGGGGATGTTAACGTTCACGTTAGCTTGCGTCAAATGCACATCTCACGTTACGTCACTGGGTTGGGGGGTGGGGATGTTAACGTTCATGTTAACTTGCGACTATCTAAGTCTGCCATACCATGCAGTCCCCCGACCAGATCCAACGGCCATGTTAACCCAAGGTTGATGCGAAGCATCCGGGTGTGGCAGTGGCGTTGGATGAACTCCACGACCAAAGGTCTGATGGAGGTCACAGGTCAAGCCTTGAAGAATCGTATGGCAATGTGAGTGGAAAAAATCGCGCGAGTTTTCAGGCACAAATTCCCTGTAAATTACAGGTCATCGTTAAAAAAAACACTTCAAAATATCGGGGATTTTTAAGGCCATTTTGGGGAATGAATCAGCAGTTTCGCTATGGCGAAAACGACATTTTTTTTCAAAACGCTCAAAACGCTGGCGCGGTTTTCCCCCCGGCGGGATGTTTTTGCTTATTGAACTGCGTGGCCCAAAAACATGACAATGTCAGATGCGGCCTTGGACCTTGAAAGGTTATTTTGCACCATGCACATTGCACTTCTCAAGAGACAACCGCCATGACCCAACTTTCGGCACAAAACCAATTAAAACTACAGGAGCGAATCTGTCAATCTTAATTTCGCCCTTGATGACAGACATGTTGGAGGCAAATTCATTCTTGGATTTTGGGCGCTGAAATTTACCACCTAGGATAGTTCCGTCTAAGGGGATAAGGGCGTGGAACAGTCAAATCAGATCCGGCGTTGGGGTAGGCACCCAAGAGCATATGTTGAAAACTAACCTGACCATGTTCAGTACTGACCATACGCAGTTGTCGTGAATGTGGGGGGGTACCTAGATTAATTTTTTAATTTAACCCTAGGTGGGCCCCCCTCTTTAATGCAAGGGGTATCAGAAAAATCCAAAGACCGCTGGCGCTGCTTTTCATTCGTTTTGGATCATTTTGTTTTTTTTCTCATTTCTCAGCTGATCTCAGGATCTGGCCAGTGACATCTACATGATCAGGAGGTGGGTGTTTCAATGTTGGAAATTCTGGTGACAGTTTCCATCGGGCGCATGATATTTTCTAGGTGATTCAGTGTCAGCCGCTGGCGCCACAACCCACCAAAACGCGGATATGTAGTTGCGTCGGGATCATGCCAGGTTCTGGCATGAGGGTCACGACGCCTTTGCCATCGTCAATAGTCTGGCCCTGGTCGCTGGATTGGCATTGTCCGTGAACGGAAATATGCTGCTCGAACTGTCAGATCGAGACGACATGTACATGTTTGGGTTCAAACCGACAGTCATTGGGCAACGGGGTTCAAAACCACTCAACAAAGGGCAAGGGTTTAGGGTTACTTACCCGCGAAACATAATCGAACATATGGAATAATTAACGCACTGATTGGTAAATTGGATGAGACCGTGCAGACTTGAGGTGCAAACACGAAACATGAAACTGATTTTGCCTATTTTGCCGGAAGGGTGGTGCTAAAGGAGAAAGGTATGCATTTTTGGACAGGATACTTGGATATTTTGTGAGTGGCATGGCGTTCTGGGCATGGGAAGCCAGGTGTCTATGCGTTGTAGCGCTGTTTTGCGTTGTTTTTTGATTGTGCAAGAGCTGTGAGCCATCTTGAAGTATTGTTGAAATATTAACAACCACTGTTTACCAAGCAACTTCATTTATTTTTTGCAGTCCTGTTACCATCATAGCCATGTCAGAAATGAATACCAGCTTCTTGATTTGTTTTTTCCAAAGACCACAGTAAAAGGGCAAAGCGGCAAACGTATATATTACAATTACAAAACAAATGTGTTTGCTGCTGCTGGCATGGATCAAGAATGTCACCAAATCCAATTGAAAACTGAAAACGCTGGATCTGGTTCGATTTGAGATCATCTCGCAGACATATTTTCACGCAAATTTGAGAGCAAGAACAAAAAAGACAGATATAAAGTAACTCACGTAAACCTTTGTGGTCAGTAGCCATATATATGTCATTTTGGTAAAAGGCCTGCAGAAGGTCCAGCATTCCTCGTAAAGAAAGCAGCATGAATCGTTAAACGAACGCTTCTCTTAACGAAGAAACTGTGTGATTTTACAATTCGGGAATAAAAAAATACAAACCTACGGAATTTCAGACTTTGTCCAGCAGAAGCGGCACGCAGCCCACATGAAACAAGACAGATGCTGGGAAGCTGCTTATAGTTGTTTTTGGGGCGTTCTATTATCTACTCGTAGTAGGCTTAATTTGGATGATCGTGATGATTAAAACAAATGCCACATGCTGGGTATCCCTGTGAAACATTTTTCCATGGAACCCGTACAACAAAGTGTCTGGTTTTCCTGTGGAGCGTTGAAGGACTGATCATGTTGTGGTTTATAAACTTACTTCGGAAGGCGCCGTTTGACAATTTAGTGCCGCTTTGGTGAGGACTTTGGGTTCAATCATGTTCAATCAGTTCTATGTTGTCTTGGTTCCATCTCATCGATTGCACGCCGTGGAAGATATGAATCTTGTGAGGCTGTCAAGGCTGCTGGTCCTCTTTCACATCAACCCCTTGCTGGTCACTGTGCAAGCCATGTTTTTATTCTGCGGCGCACGGTCAGCCACAGGAAACGATCCAAGATATCGATCTCTACATGGCTCCTTACTTCAACCCTTGCGGATTGGGACAATGCCGGAAATTATCTCCATGGTGATTGTTGCAGTTGTGACAATGTTTGGGTGCGGTGTCTGGGTGAAGGAATTCCCTTTCAAATTGCAGCTCCAAGTGATGGGCTGGGCAGGTCTACCCCAAATGGTTCAAACATACTTCTTCTGTATTTTTGCGCGATAGAGTGATAGAGTTGATTAAGATGTTATTCTGTTCAGGTTTCACTGGGTAGTGCCTGTCTCGGCGTCACATCAGGCTACTTTCAGAGTGAAGGTTGCGCTATGCAGCTGGTGCGGTCTTCAGTTTCAGAGGCTTTCGCCCAAGCCTTCGTGAGCACCTTTGTGCAGAGCCTCAGACCTGTTCGGTGAATGTTTTTTAGGTCCGCGATTCCAATAGCTCCGGAGGCTCCAGATGAGTATGGATAATTCCTTTCCCCAGGAATGAATCGTTTCCTTTTCTGCTGCTTCCTTCGCGCCCGAACACCTTCCGGGTAGCTGGGCGCTGCGTGACACATCAAAACACCACCAAAAATAAGGATGCATGATAATTGCCAAGTAAACATTCAGGCGAGAATCCCATGGGAAGATGGGCTGTCAAAAACGGGGGGGGGGGAGAACCCCAAACCAGCAAGCAATTTCAGACTGGGGATCGTGTGTGGACGGACTGGTGCAAAACACGCGATCTTGGAACCCAGAAGCATAACTCTCGATACTCTCGGACACTGGAACAGTGGCATCACCCAACCCTGAAAGTTAAAACCCTAGCCTAGAATCATGTTCGTAGCTGAAGAACGGAAGAACGTTGAATGAGACAAACATTCGATGCTCTGTTTGGCAGATGAAGAAGTGACAAGGATTGAGAAGCGTCTGAGCTTGCAACACTTTCACACTTGGATCACTTGCAAGTCCGACAATGGTTCGCGCTGGAAATTGACTTGCCCGATGCAAAACACACAAATCGAATTGACTATTAAGGTTTACAATTGATCCGGGATCTTTGGAAATGGAATCTCGGGTCTTTCCGAATATTATATATATGGTGGAGTTGAATTGTATAAATTATAGGTACCTTATTACTTCCCTCATGAGGTAACCAATTGAATGGATATCATCTTACCATTGGTTATTTAATAATTCTATTTGTTTTCTACCATGCTCATGAATAATCATATGTGCACTATTATTTTCACACTTAGGCAACCAATTGGTTGATTAAATTGGTACCACCCCAGTATCGACTTTTTTTTTCTATCATATTCTTTGGATAAAAAGGGGCCCACTATCATTTCCCTTATAGGGTACCCGACCCATTGCTGGATTAAAATGGAATGGGTATCATCCCTTTGCAGGGTATGTACTATATCTATTTGTTTCAACCACGCTCATGTTTCTTCTAGGGTGGTGCCCCCATATACCTTTGGTATAAAACCACCAATATTATCCCTTTATGATCACTCTTTTATTCAAGTACTAAATTTCCCCATTATTTCTACGTCTGATTATGGATTTTGCCGAACTCAGGGTGCAGAAATCTGCACCTTGACTTAGGCATTTTTTTTGGACGATATCCTAGGTGCTTGGTGAGGTATTGCCTAAGTCAAGGTGCAGATTTCTGCACCTAGACTTAGGGAATACAGAGGTTGTACCCTGGGATTTAGGAAAACAATTGCCGATGTCAGGGTGCAGAAATTTGCATGTGGACTTAGGAAACAGCCGTACTGTTATATTCTACCATGATTTTTCCCGCAATGGATTCGGGGTCCTTCATTTTGAGATTTAGGCCAAAAAAAAGACGATCTTTTGGCTCGGGGGACCCCAAATCCATCGCAACCCCAAATCCGTCGCATAACAATATTCTATTTTATATTTTATCAAAAGTATTCAACAACAAGAAACATATCTGAACCGATCGAATTGGCGATCGTTTGTTCTGACTGGTACTTCCACGAGTAGAAGAGCCAATGGATGGAGAGGCAAATTATCAATCCCGTTCTCGGCATGACTACCGAATGGCGCATAAGAATTAAACACATTGAAGCATCCAAGGGACACTAACCCCATACGATTTTCCTTTGGGATGAATACCTTGATAGATAAGATATATAGATAAAGAAATAAATGTTGGAAAACATATATCACACAATGAGGGGTAGAACTAAATCACCAAGGACCCTAGAATCAAGTTCCAAAGACCCCTTATCGGCTGCCAAGCCTTTATTGATTCGATGCAACAGTTTTTCTTCAAGAGTTTGTGCGGAAGGTGAATTACGCCAAAGGCAAAGAACTGGATGATTACACTGATTTCTCCGTGCCCCCAAAAATGAAAAAGATCTCAGCCCGGGGCCTGAAACAAAATCCAGTTTTAACTACAACCTAAAGATTTGTTGCTTGGCTTGCAGTTGGGTTGCAAGTTGGGTTGCAAGTTGGGTTACATTGACACACAAAGTTACCACATGAATGTTGGCCTGTTGCAGAGGGAATGTTTATTCAGTCTAAATTAGCTGATTTGTTGTGTAATTAAGAACATTGGCTATATGTTAATATGACATGATGTTTTTTTTTAAACCTCCCTGCAGCTTTTGACATGGCAACCTGCTGTCACACTGGGATGATGATTCATGAGATCCTCACGTGCAACGCTTTTCTGCCTCAAAGGACGATAGATTCAAACAACTATGCGATGCGCGCGTACTTCTCTAGCAAAAACAATTCAAACTCAGCGATGTTGATGCTCCCGGTGCTGCCTAGGACATATGCCATGTTGACCCAATCGCTATCCTGGAATTTCCTGTCCACCATCTCCCTGTTGCTCAGTTTGGTGTCCATTGTCCGGTCCCTTGCCTGGTTTTGGACACACATGGGGCAAAGGGCGGTGGCTAGTATGGGTGATATCGTGTGAGGCCCTTTGACTGAACATGTTTGAAGCATGGACTTTTTGCTGATTGTAAAAGTAACATATGTATCGTGACATGCAGATTGATTCTGACCCATACCGATACCAGAATTAAATATTTCAAGGGACCCCCAGGATCCAACATAGAGTATTTTTCCGAAAATATTGACTCTACTTTGCCTTAAAGTAGCGATGAGAGCAAAAACGCCGGTTGGTTTCCATACTTAGACAAGTTTTGTATCGATTCTTGTTCTGCTTCCGTATTTTGAGTCCCCGTTCAATTCCAATTTATGTAGGACACAACTCGACAGAAATCCGGAGTCATCAAGTAATGCGAGTGTCCTGTGTTCGAAGAAAACCATGGGTTTGATTGGTTAAAACCCCTCATCTGCCTGATCTTTGACGCTCAGACCCTTCTCCTTCTTGGATATGTATCAATACGTCTCGCGCGAGATCCATGGCCAGCCTATTTTGGTGGGGATCGCGCAGCCTGAAGCTGGGCACGAATGAGTTGCCGTTGGCTTTCCGCAATCTGGTTGACATGCAGACTGGCAGACACGTTGTGGTTGTTTAGTAGAGTGCCTGTTTGTGACGGTTGGTATTTATGCAGAACGGCAGGCCACCAGAGAGGTGCAATTTTACCATAAAAATAGTGTTATGACAATTCATGTTCATGTCATGAAGTACTGCATTCTGATGGACCTGGCCTTCCGAATTGTTCATGGTCGTAATAGGTTTGAATAGACGCAGCTAGGGAAACTGACAAAAAATCAAAAACCTTAGAAAAACACAAAAAAGCAAACAAACAAAACAATTCTCTTCGACCTAGGAATATTGTTTCAATTATTTCTATTTTGTTTGCTTTCTCGAGGTTGTTTTATGAGTTCCATATTTTTAGTGCTGTTGGCTCCAAATCTGTTGTTGTGGCTGTGGATTTTTCCTTGCCAATTCAGTCCCTTACTTCTGCATATTCTTTTTCTGACTCTCAAGTCGTGGCACTTGCCATTTACTAAGTACTAATTCCATGGCCCATCCAAGCGGTGGTGTATTTTCTGACTTTTGGTTGGTTTCATTGTTCCAAAAGGATTTTAGGCACATCTAAACAGACTAAACAGAACGTTTAAACACATGTCTAGACCAAGTTTGTGTTTAAAGGCACTTGGGGTGGTGCAATTTTATTTGCCGTAACAAATTGTTTTCAGCCAAAAGCCAAATCTCTTTTGTAGATAGAACATACATAAATACACAGCAGAGACAATTTACATCCAACCATATTCCCCTACTGAATCCATTCTTGTTTGAAAGAAACATGCTTTGAAATTTGTTTTTTGCCCCTTGCTATTGCTTTCCTCTCCATAAGGTAATGTATATTCTTTGCAGAACTGTAAGCATTTAAAAGGTACAATATGCCTGAAACCAGTATAGCCTTCGAACATGTAATGCATTCTATTTTGTTCCATTTCAACTGATCATTTTCTGAAAATAAGTATAAGACTTGTACACACATACAACTGTAGTATAATGTATTCATATTATACACATTTTTTTTCTCAACCAGCGCAGCTGCACTTTTCATTTGATGTACCAGTAGTACCGCGCAAGGCGGTGGCGGAAGTTTCAAAAATAGGAAACCTATAGGAGAGATTGGTTGTTGTGAATCACGGATGGCAGAGCGAATCCACTGATGGACCGAAAGGTGCTTGAGGTCTCCTCTCTTTCTCTCTCTTTCTCTGACTATCTACCTACCTACCTACCTACCTAGCTACCATGGGAGGGTATATTTTTTTAGGAATTTTTATTGTTTTTTTTTGTTTTTTTTTTGTTTTTCAGTCTGGAGCAGCTTTCCCTGCTATTTGGTGCTCTTTGGAGCTAAAATCTGTGTTTTGCATGCATTTTGGAGCTAGGATCTCTCATTTGCGCGCCCACTTGGCTTTTGGCTTCAAGTGCCCACTTGGCTTTTTGGCTTTTGGCTTTTGGCTTTTTGGCTTTTGGCTTTTGGCTTTGCTCGGGCTTTCTTTTGGCTTTTAGCTTTTGGCTTCACTTTGGCTCTTGGCTTTTGGTTATTGGCTTTTGGTTATTGGCTTTTGGCTTTTTGGCGTTTAGCTTTTTGGGCCATGGCTTTTGGCTTTGGCTTCACTTTGGCTGTTGGCTTTGGGCTTTGGCTTCACTTGGCTTCTGGTTTTTGGCTTTCTGTGGCCCCTTATCTCCTCGATAAGTCAAGAAAAGACATAATCTGGCTTTTGGCTTTTTGGCTTCACTTGGCTTTTGGCTTTGGCTTCACCTGGCTTTTGGTGTTTGGTTTTAGCTTCACTTGGCTCTTGGCTATATTGTTTTGAACTACTCCATGTTACGGGAAAGAAGGGAAATAAGACTCTTATTTCCCTTAATATACGTTAAAAAAAAGATACATAGCTAATGGTCCCCCGTAATGATAGTGTGAATGGCATGTTCGCCCTATCCGCAGCATTTCCTCAGCTTCAATGAGGAAGACGTGCCAGGTGTGGAGGTAAGGTCACCTGGCATCTGGAACCTGGACCCCGGTCCCTACCGGGTGAAAGGGCCCAGGTGTCGGGATGGCTGAACCCGAGCCCTGGCGGAAGACAGGACGAAAAGCTGGTGAGGAACACTGGCTTGGGTTGACACCCAGCGCTGTTGTAGAGGTGAGCCTCTATGACGATGCGGGGCGACAGCAGGGCCGAGGTGTTGTGAAATTGCAGCACCGCGCCATAGAGGATGAGGCTGGCAAAGGTCAAACCTGGCGAGGATTCTTTCTGGCCATTGAAGACGGATATTACGAGTGGTGGGTACAAAATCATTACCCCACGAAGGTGCTGCCATTCCACTTCTGTCAGGTGGCGGCCCATCGGTGTGGGGAGCAAACGCTGTACCGGGACCCCATCCACGTTGACGTCTTCAGAGTCTTGCCGGATGATACATACGTGAGGCTGCCGTGGATGACCGATGAAAAGAATGAGAAGGCCAAAAGCTTGTTGGCACTCCACGCCACGCAGGCGCCTGCGGTCCCAGCCCTCGCCTCTCCAGCTGTGGGGGGTGGGGATGGTGGCCGTGGGAGCCGAGCTGATGGTGAAGTGGAGGTGGGTGAAGCTGGCATTGCAGGGCTGGCTCGAGCACTTGGAACTGCAGGAGATCGTGGCGACAAGAGAGAGAGGCAGATTGACGATGATAAGGAGGAAAAGAAGAAAAGGAAGGAGAAGAAGGCACCAGTGGATGCCCGAGAGGAAGGCCTTCGAGCCGTTCTGAATAAGCGGAAGGCACCGCTACCTACCGGGGGTGCGCTCAAGCTGAAAGGAGACGACCTGAAGAAGAAGAAGAAAAAGAAGCGGAAAAGAGATTCGGAGAAAAAGCGGAAGTCCAAAAAGGAGGAAGCTAGCAAGGGGTCCTCCGAGGAAAGTGACTCAGGGGACGACGAGACCTCCTCATCGAGTTCAGGGTCGCTTTTTCAGTTGGCCGCCCTGCCACAGGGAGTAGACCGATTGCACCGGTTGCATCAGGAGAAGCCAGGGGCTCTGGCGGACCTAACGCTCCGGCGCTTTCAGGAGCTCCTGAACCGCTCAATAGGCGGGGGAACGGCCGAGACAGAGCAGGAGATGCCGCCGGTAGCGCGCGCATACCTCAGCCAGATCTACATGGTGCGCCATCCAGAAGCAGCGATTGGCCTGCGGAATCTGAGAGAGCTGCGTACGTTGGCGACGCTGGTGGATCTCATGGCCATGAACGACTCTCTCCGTGCACTCGACGTGGCCGTACAGAGAATGAAGAGCATCGAGCTGTTCATAGCTCAGGGCCAATGGAGTCAAGCAAACTTGCTGGAGCTCATTGTGCCGGAGGAGGAGCAACGAGCCTGGTTCCGACAGGAGTTGAAGGCAGCCCAGCAAGAGCACAAGAGCGACCTGAGGCTGCAGAGGGACCAATGGCCGAAAAGGAGGGCCGCCTGGTATCCCTCCCCCGGAGGGGGGGTGAACATGGACAAGAAGGAAGCGGAAGGAAAAGACGGAGGACCACCCGAAAACGGAGGAGGTCAGAGCCAAGGGAAAGGAAAGAAAGGAAGAGGAAAAGGGAAGAAGGGCAAGCGGTGGTGAGCCCACCTGCGGCCCGGCGGGGGTTAGAATACCCAGCGATGGAAAGGGCCCTAAATGAATGTGAAGTGTCTGAAGAAACACGAGAGAAGGTCAGAAGCCTCATGCAGGATCCGGAGGTGGTGGCGCTCTATCGACTCAGGAGGTTTGCGTTGGGCAAGAGCCCAAACTGGAAGATGATAGAGCAGGATTTCTTTGAGATGATTGCCAATGTCGCTGGAGACCCACCTGCACTGGTAAAGAAGCAGTTGCGGCTCAGCTGTCAATTCCTAGGAGAGGAATTGATACCATCCGCATCGGAAGTGGCCTGCCGGCTCTTGGGGGTCGACCAATCTCAGGCCGGGGTTGATCCTCGGTCTGGGGAAGGTCGGCTCCTAAAGTTGGTGAATGGCATTGAAGTGCGAGCTGCTGACATTGAGTGGAAGAGAGAGGACGGGGTTTATGTTGGCACCCCTCACAAAGAGTTTGGTGCCTCAATCTACCACCAGGAGTTTGTCAGTCAGTTGGATAAGGAAAAAGTGAGGATATCTTTGGTGGGTCAACACTTATATGTTGGCTCAAAGGACCTGAGAGCTGCCGACTGGTTGATTCAGGAATTTGGGCTGATTCCAAAAGAGCACGTGACGCCGGTCTCATGGAGGCAGATGATGCGGCGAGGGCTGGGGCTCAGCTTGTCGGTGAGTCTTGTGGGGGTGGTCTTAAAAGTCGGCATTCAAGACCGCCCTGGAGAGTTGGGCAACTTAGCGCGTGCCCTTCCTTGCTGCGCTCTGGAGAACTTTCACCGACTGGCAAAGGAGCTACTCCCATTGCCAATGCCCATCATGACCGACGAAGAACTGGCTTTTGAGGCAGCGGTGAAGGAGGTCCTCTGTGGCCGCTTGGATGTGACCAGTGAGAGTTGGAGGAAGCTGAACAGTGAGGCAAAGGAAATCGGTGTGAAGGCATGGACCTGGCTGCAGTGCTTCGTGATCAACCACCTATACTGCCACGGAGCAGGTGGTCGCATGCTGTCTGAGTGCATGCTTCATGCGAAGGAACCTACTGCGAGCCAGGAAAGATCCATCAAGCGACTTGACAGCTTAAGCAAGAAATGGATTGAAGAAGATAAGGAGGATGCGATCAGGGCAGACACCTGGGAGAAGTCGTCTGAGACATTGGGGGACATGTACACAGGACCCAACGTAGGGAAATCCTATCCTCTGACATTGGAGGCAATACTCCCCACAACACCAGGTGCGAGTGAAGCGGCGAGGATCCCATTGTCAGAAGTGGTGAGCGACTCGGTCAAGGAATATGTGGATGACCCTTCGCTGCTGCGTATCCCGGACGAGGAGCTCATTGGGCCACGCACCTCAGCGTTGGTGCAAGTCACCAGCCAGGAGGAGTGGGACAAGATCGTGAGCCACCTGGTAG